CATTCTCTGCTTTTTGCTTGATATATATATAGATAAAAAAAAAATATTTATGCCAGGTCACTTTTTAAAGTTCAGTGAGTTCATCGTAAAATCTGTCAAAATTATAGAGGTAGGCAGTGGTGAAGCATAATTTGTTCAAATTTTCTGAGTTACCTTATATTAGATGTCAAATGACAAAGAAGTTTCATGGAGGTTGGAGAGGACCACGGCAACCTCATGTCTATATAAACTAATTATAATGCATGGGAGTTTGGACCTGAGTGAAGTGACTGATTACCTGACAGGGATGAAAATAACAGCTTGATGGTACTATATATAAGTAGCAGGACATATCTTTGTCCTCTCAGTGGTTTGCCTCTACAGGGAGTTGAAGTTAATTTTACATGGCAGAAGTTCATCGAATTGCCTTATTTATTATGGTTCTTGCAGTGATGGCAGTTTGCAATGAAATTATGTGCATTGAAGGGAGGCAATTGAAGCCAATGCAGAAACAGGCGCAATTCAAAACCTTCAATATCAATGGCGAAGCTGAAAGAGAGATGTGGATGCAACGAAGCCAAACTATGAGCCTGCAGCATCCTCCTCATCACCACACATGGCCAAGTGATCACCATGAGGAGGTTCATGCTGTAGTACTTGACGACTCCAAAAGATCGAGCTTACCAGTGCCCATGTCACCGACACCAAATTACAGGGTTGGTTTTACCTACGAAGAATACAAGGACGATTTTGAAGCCCAAGCCACTACATCATCTGATAATGAAGGTGGATAATTATCGGCAGCCTCGTTAATTTGTCGAATCAGACTATGATTTATTTCTGTTTGGAAGAATAAATTTATTTGTATCATCTGAACGAATCATCAGACTATTTATTCACCTCTCGCTAGCTTGTAGAGACGAAACTCACTTGTTTTTGGGAAATATTAAGCTCAATATGTAACCGGTGAATTTGGAATGGTGGTTGGCATTGCAATGGTAATGTATGGTCACTCTTTTCCTAGAAGTATGAATGAAGCAATCGGTTTTTATTTGGGCGGCTTGACTTTAGAACACTAGGTATTAAAAACATGATATATTTAGTCATATATCTATTCTTAGCACTAATGATATAGATAAATCATACACCATTTAATTTCTATAAACAAATAAAAAAAATTCAAAAAATGATTGCTGGCCATATTGAATTTAATTTTAATTATTAAATTACTTTGATGTCCTATTGAGTGTTTTGGCTTTTTTTTTTAATGAGGTTTTGGGGTTGGGCTTGTTTTAAGAAATCGATGATAATTTTTTAATTTATAAGAAGTTAAAAACATTTTTGTTATGTTGTAAATGGACTTTGGGTGTATTTCTAAAGTCCATTTCAAATAGGGTTTTTTTATAAAATAATTTGGTCCCCTATATTGGGTATAACAGTGAATCTCCCTTAAAACTTTGGCAGCCTTTTCTTGACTCGACGAGCACCTTACAAATTGGTCAAATGATACATCATCAACAAATCATAATGTCGAAATAATCTGAAGATTTTTGTTGAGCTCACTTAATCCTGGATTGATAATAACAAAGGAAAAGTTAGACTTTTCATTCTTAGACAACATCAACAGAAAGAAATCTAATTAATTAGAGTTTCATAGTGTGGTATAGAGAAAACAAACGTTCAAACATGATTTCCTTTGGGTCATCTTTTGTTCATAGTTCATGGCATGGGCTTCATCTTCTCCTTTGCCTTTCAACAAAAGGCGGTTTAATATGGGCTTGTTTCTGTTTCACATGAAGGATCTGTTTGGTGCATTATTACTCAAGCCCATTAAACGGGGAAAATTTTGAAATTTATACTAAGAAGATTCTGCCCTCAGCGCGGACGAGCTGGGGCTAACTGTAAACTCATAGGTCACCTGTTCCAATCCTACTGCTATTGTGTAAGTTCTTGATTTACTAACACACACACTGTGGGGTTGGAGTTTACCTGACAGTTATGAGTCCAATGTGGCCCTGCCTTGAAGGGGTTCCCCAGATTCGACATTTCTATGTAATGGACATATTTGATTGCGATGATGCAACCAAAATCGAAATGGTGCATTTTGATATCATCATATTCTAGAATAAGAAGGTATAGCTAGGATCGATCATCATCAACTTAGAGATTTGATAAGGTTAGGTGAGATTACTTTGCTCAATCTGAGATGATACATATGATTAGTTATATATACCACTTTCGTACTCATTACTTTTGTTGATGATCAGGATCACTATTGATATTTTATTGCGACAATACATTAGCTTAGGCCACTATAACTTTCAACAACCACTAGCAGATTCCCAACTTAGAGTACTCCCAGAGATATGCTTGAACAATGTGTTTCTTCTATGGCCTTGGTGAAGGGAAAAATAGTGTTAACACTTCTATACATTCATTCATCTGTCATCACAGTCACAGTAGCTACTACCTATATTAATGGAGAAATGGGATCCCATACTTATGTCTTTTGTATTGTCAATATTGTCTTTATGATCAAAATGACATTCTTTTATATATAATTTAGAGTTTATAGTTAAATGCTTATGGTTTATATCGAAAGAAGAAGAAGAGAACAAAAAAAATAGTCTGCTAATAAAGTCAACCCAACTTACCAAATTAACGTACGTAATGAATTATTCTACTTCACAAGGAGGGGAATTCGAATTAAACATATACTTCTCTTTGTTCACCCCATATTCTAAGTTCACATAAACTTCTAATTCAAATTTTCACAATTTCTAAGAAAACCCCTCTATCTTCTAAAATTACCCCTAAATATACACCCAGCATAAAAAATAAAAATAAAAAATTCATCAACCTCACACCTGACACCCCACACACCACACCCAAATGTTCGTAATCTGAATCTACATTAGGCTTCTTAATATAATATCCACCTCTCTCACAACTTAAAGTAACTCTAGCTCTCCTTGTTATATTTTTCCCAGCTCCATCAGACCTCACACCCCACACCATTTATGAATAAAAAACTCATCAACCATATGTCCTTCATATCACAAGTAAACTCACATAGACTCTGTTATGTTGTATGGTTGCTCTACTCAGCTATATACTCTATTGATTAATATAATTGCTCTACTGAGCTATTTACTCCATTGATTATTCACTCCAGTCCAATCAAAACAGATTGTGTTGTGTTGCTCTTTCAGATTGAGTTGCCCTAGTGCTTCAGCACAAGTTTCAGGAAGCTACATCTAGTTGATTCTGACTTTGTATTTTTTTTTCTTCCTTTGGTCTATGAATTGATCATATTCAAAAAGCCTGAAGGGCAAGGAGACTAATTCTGGGAGGAGTCCCAAGCCAAGAAATAATCTAGGAGGAGTCCCAGACTAAGAAATAATCTCCTCAATAATTCTAGGAGGAGTCCCAAACCAAGAAATAATCTCACATTACATACTTCAATTGACGACTCACAAGCCACTATTTGCATACTGTATTTAGGGTTTGAGAAGAGAAGATGAAAGTATAGTAGGTTTCTATTGAAAGAGAAGAGTAATCTGGCAATAGGGTGTAGAGGAGTTTGTGTTTTTCTAAAACTTAATATGAAGAGTGGTGTGATGTGTGTATAGATATACTAGGGTTAAGTATTAAGTTAGATAACATTTTTTGTCTTTTTACACAATAATAAAACTTAAGAGCTTAATGATTTAAGTATTGGAGTGAACAAACAAAAGTGTGAGGTTTAAATAAAAAACTCATTTGAATTTGAGTATAAAAGGGTAGATACACTGTCTGTCCTGACCAATTAAGCTAATCCCCATCTACAACTTCTATATATAGCTTTAGTTCTAACAAGACCATGCACCTTAACAGTCACTGGTCAGTACATGCCACAACTTGAGCATGATGTAAACTCATCCGTTGATTAATTGAAGTTATCTATTGTTTGAAAAAAAAACAAAAAAACAAAAAACAAAAAACAAAACAACACCAAAAATAAATAAATAAATAAATAAATAAATAAATAAAAAGAAAGAAAAGAAGAGAGAACAAGAACAAGAAAGGTACAAAGATATTATTTTACGCACATTAACACATAAATAAGCATTTCTTTGAGACTAACCGAATCAAAACGCCGTACAGAGCGCATGCTCCAACTTGCAAATTTTATAAGGCAACCCACGAGCCATTGTCTCTGAGTGAGACCAAATCCCTAATCAATCAGTTTGGAAAACCTACCAAACGAAACTTTAAGCAGCCTTTTGGCCCTTTGGAACGACACTTTAACTTTAAGCAGCCAATTTGGTCCTTTGGACCAAAGCTCTCGTGCGTCTTTGTCACTTTTATTTTGTTTTTGGTCAATTTAGTCTTAAACTTAGAATCCAAGAGATCAACCTCAAAGTGGGGTCAAGCTAGCCATAATTCGTCAGCTTTACTAGTGCTTAAACTAACTTAACGAACCGTACTTGTTTCTAATTGCACATGGGACCAAGCAAAGTTAGCAAACCACCCAAATTTCGAATTAATTCTATAAACCCACTTTTAGCTTTTGCTAAACTTGTTTAAACCTATTTTTAGTTTTATGCCAATGGGGTATAGTCCAGTGAAAAATGGCATTAATTTGCAAAACAGTGGTTTTAGTTTCAAAAGTCCATGACACCTACATAGTCTGTGTGTGAGAAACCCTCATTCCCTTATAGTTAATTAACAATAAAACGGACATAATTGAGACATCTAATTCAAAATCAATTGAATGCTAGTGGAGAGAGGAGCTGGATGATCTTTATATACATTGAGAAAGACCAAGTAATTAATACATGGTACAACATATGTGATCGATTGAAATAGGTAGCGAGGATAAATTTAAACAAATAAGTTCTTTTTTTTTTGTTGAGTACAAGCGATAGTCTAACCGACAGGAGAGGAGACACAACTGATGTCATGGGGATTCAAACTTGAAATCCGGTATACAAGTCAATGCCTTTTTTTCATTGGGCTAGACCTATTGACTAAACAAATCAGTTTTTAATAGAGTGACCAACGCCCGGACTGTGACCCGGTGTCGTGGGTCGAAAATCGTCAGTAACATGTTCAACCTTTCTTGGCTGATCATGATCAGCTTGCACCGAACCATGGCCATCACTAGCGTTACGGTGATCATCATTAGTGCTTGGACTGGTAGTCCTCATCACCATGTTCTCAGTATGCCTTGAGCTCGGCCCGGACTTCAAATGCCTTCCCTCCACATGCAAGGCTTCATGGCAACATATCAAAAAGAGCAGGCAAGTACATATAGTGGTGGTCATCAGACTAGAAATCTTGGCCATCTTAAGCAAATTTAGATCGTTCAGAGAAGAGAGAGAGAGAGAGAGAGAGAGATTTAGTATTTGGTGTTTTCTGGTATTGGAGGGTTTTGATGAAGAAGTGTGGTGTATGGAAACCTATTGCTCTACTGTGGTATTTATATGGGCTTGAAGAGCTGAGTGGCGCCAAACGGCCTCTCTCTCTCTCTCTCTCTCTCTCTCTCTCCCTCCAAGTAATAGTATCTACGGGTTGAGGAGGCAAGGCATGTGCAGGTCCATAGGAGCGGGAAGATTCCACACAGATTGTGAGATATATAAAATCACCAAAAAAAGCAAAGCTAAAGTGTAAAGTTCTCTGGACGGTTTATATTAACTGTTTAAGCCCTACCTCTCATTACAAAAACTAATGCACCACCGCTACATGCTAGTTGTCTATATTCTGTTTGCCCCCATGGCCCGCCCATGCAATCAACTAACCCTTCAATTTCTTTTTTACTTTTTAAATTTGTCTTTAAAAAAACCCCTGCATATATTATATATATATATAGAGGGCAAATGTCTGCGCATGTCAACACGGTGCCACCATTTGATTGGCCTCCCCTACCGACATGTTCTTTTTTGTTTTTCCTTTAAAAACCTAACCTATTTTCGACAAAATTGATTACTTTAGCTAGGCTGTAGAACCATCTTTATATTTCAGATTTTTCAAGTACTGTTTTTAAGAGATTAACAGGGTATCGATTGATTGATGTTGATATTTGCAGCCGACTTCTGGTGAACATTCCCACCTGCCTGAAGCTGATTGTGTCCTTGACCTAATGCTCTGTTCTGCAAAATTCCCCGCATACTATAACCTTTTATTATTTACTCATCAAATGCGGCCCATAAAATTTAAACTTCAATCATCTTCTGATAAAGCAACAATCGAGTAAATAAATAGTCGTATGAGCATCCAAACTAATAGAATTTGTAACTCAACTTACATGAGCTAGACTAGTGCTCGACATACAATACTGGCATGAGATCTGGATCTTCACAGGGTTGATTATAATGTCACTTTTATTTGTCAAACTACCTTAGAGGGCTGGCTGCATTGAGGCTTTAAAAAATGAAAGGGTGTCCTTCCCACTATTTCACCTATATATGAACCCTCCCACTAACTACGATCCACTATTTGGAGAAAGGTTAGATATATATTTATGGGGTCGTCGGCATACACAAAATGTTCAGATTCAAGCAAAGTAATTATAATTTATATAGAAGATATGATTTCTTTTTGGTCAGACAAACCTAACTTTCGAAATGAAAAGACCCCATAAACCTTTTGCGGTTCCAATCTGTTGTGCGAGCTTTTAACACCATCATTAGCCACCAAAACCTAGAAAGATTCCTCAGCAGACTTTGCAGTTCATCATGGCAATATTGAAAAAGAAAACCCGCTAGAGCAATTAGTACTAATACGATTAATTAGTGTAGCTAACCCAGTTTTAGGACGATTAAGTAGTGATTAATTATTATAATCTATACAGTTGGGTTTGTTGAATATATATTTGTAAGATGCTCAAGATCTTCTCTCTTGTGGTTGTTGAAGTGGCTTTCATGGATTGAAGTCCAATGAGTTTCTTTTTTGTTGGACGGTTGGATCAGGTATATTAAACATATTCAACGGGCCGGATTCATTTAAGTAATACTAACGTCTTGGCATTGTGGTGGTTTTTTCTATTGTGTTTTATTTATTTATTTAGGCTCAATTTAACATTAATATCCTTACGCATTGTGGTGGTTTTTTCTTTCGGTTTTGTATGTGAGGTGCTATTGGTTTTTCTTTTCTTTTCTTTTTTTGGTTTCAAAGCTTGTGACACCGTAGGTTAGGGTTTAGCTTTATAATAGTAGAGATATAAATTAGTTTCAAACACGCGCAAGACACAGTATGAAACGCCTTAGGTCATGTCGTTTACATAACCTAGCACGATTTATCTTGTTTGTACTAGGTCAAGAATCAAGGTATATATCTACAAAAATTTAGGCCTCCTTTTTCTTAGCCATGGATTGGCTTGTGTGAATGGATTTCGGTTCTCAAACTCTCTCATTAAAATATCCTCTTTATACCCATATATAAAGAGAGGGAAACTATCATATACAATAATTGATTTGTACTTTAAGTGGTTAAGAGTAGTTAAGCTTCATTTTTCTTAACCATGGAGTGCCTTGTGGGAATGGATTTTGGTTCTCAAACTCTCTCATTAAAGTCTCCTCTTGTTAGGTTATGTTTAACTAAAGTTCTTATGTATTCAATCAAGCTTAAAGAATCTAGACTAGTCTAAGTTAGTACTGAAGGAAGTTGAGGTTCCACCCCAAACCAATTGGCAATGGGGGGAGTAGCCCAACTCCTTATAAACTCAGGCTAGGTCCTTTAACATTATTTCAATGTGGGATAAACACTCTCAACAAGCCCCCGCACATGTGGTGAACTTTCAAGCCTAACATGTGGACAACACATATTGGGTGACGTGGGAGCACGTGTGGCTGTTGGGCCCAATATGTGAAGCCTTGCTCTGATACCATGAAAGAAGTTGAGGTTCTATCCCAAAACCAATTGGCAATGAGGAGAGTAGTCCAACTCTCTATAAACCCTTGCTAGGTTTCTCAACTTTCCAATATGGGACATTTTACTTTCACATTCTCACACGCCCCCTCAGGTGTAGTGAATTTTCAAGCCTAACACGTGGACAACACATATTGGGTGACGTGGAGCACGTGTGGCTGTTGGGCTTTCACACATAGGCTAATCTGCTCTGATACCATGAAGGAAGTTGAGATTCCACTCCAAAACCAATTAGCAATAGAGGGAGTAGCCCAACTCCTTATAAACCCAAGCTAGGTCCCTTAACATTTCAATGTGGGACAAACACTCTCAACAAGTGCTTCGTTGATTATTGTAACTAAGATCAACTTCACAATGCCTCAATGCATTCAAAGCTCATTGAAGGTAATTCATTTATGTTTGTGTTGCATGCATTGTAGTGTTCTCTCTTGTATGACTAGTTAATTTTTTTTTAAGTTTACTTTTTGCATGACTAGTCATCATTTGTTTGTCACATGTTATTGCCACATCATTATTTTTTCTCACGTGGGCTTTAACCTTGCCAGCTGTAAGCTTTCTGTCCTAACTATTTTTGTCCCATTATGGCTCTAATGATTGGCCGCTAGGTGCATTGGTTTTAGGCAAGATATTTTTGATAAAACGGTTGTTGTAAGAAGCAGTCGTCACTTTCACTGAGGGTTTTGAGCTTTGCGTTTTTTTTTTCTTGGCGAGGTCAAGCGAATGAGATTTTCAAATTGGTTTTGAAATCTGCTTATGTTTTCGATAAATCTGAATCTAGCACAACACTTCACTCATTCATATAATTTCTAGGTCCGATTCTTGTTTGGTCTCTTCAAGAAGATGGTTTCTTGAAGGAGTCGGTCCATTTAGTTTTTGAATCTACATTTCATTATTCAAAGTTGACTACGAGTTGATCATTTGGTACCATGGAGTGAAGAGTTGAAGAGTTGAAGTTGATGTTGATGCAGCCATTTCCATAAAGATGGCTAATGTTTCTGAGTTGAGCATGAAGATTGCACAGAAAGGTAGAGCTACTTCCTAAATAGATCTAGGAATTCTTGAGCTTGTTTGTGTGTTCTATGTAAGAATCTTTTATGCTTAGTGTGGATTTCCTGGTCGGATGGTGACCCCTCGTTTGTCCCAGTAATAGGTTTCTTGGTGAACATTTTCTAGTGATTGATTAGTCATCCATGTTTAATACTCTTGCAACTTCTGAATGGATGTACACACATTGTTCACCACAGTTATTGCTAGCATTGGTGATGCCTAGATTGATAAATCATTTTGAGTGCTTAGGTTGTCACATAAATATGTTCTAGATTTGTAGGTTATTATTGATTGATCTATTGTGGATTGTTTTTTACCTGTGTGTTTGGGAGTCTATAACTAGTTGTTGACTACTCATATTGTTGCTAGGTTCACCTTGTTCCTTTTTGTAGATCTGTCTAATGGATTTTTAGATTTACGCCTTTCACCTAAATACCAGTTTCATTCATATCTAAAGAGAGGGCCATATGTTGGAGTCCCTCCTTCCCTAAGATCGCTATGTATGAGAGAGAGAGAGAGAGAGAGAGAGAGAGAGAGAACAAGCCCTACATGATGGCTAGTCTTGAAGGTGCTATCAGTCAGATGAATTAATTTGGCTAGCACAAAAATGCATGCTCTCCAGACCAAAAGAAAAAAAGTAAGTGGTTATTGTACTTATAATCTCATGTGATGGTTTGTATAGACCCGCCAACATTGTTTTGATATCTACACTGAAATTGCAAGAAAAGGCAATTTAATTAAGGATGGCGTTCAAACAAACTGCTAGTTTATAGTAGAAAAGAAATTAGAAGAGAGAACCTTGAGAACCCAGAAATTCCCTATTTGGTCCAAATGTTTGATCATTGACTTTTTGAGGGTGTGGCTTGGAAAGTTGGAATTAGAAAGGTCCGTTTCCATTTTCCATCTTTTTTTCCCTCTAATTAAACAACATTTCCATTACCTCTAATTCTAAGGGGATATATTTTCCAAAAATTACATGTGTTCTACGTCCATCTCTTTCTCACCATGCAGACACATGCAATAAGGGTGATGGTTTTGGATTCATCCACAATAGGAGGAGGAGGAGGAGGAATGAGTCTTTTTTTTGTTTTAGAGATTACAATATTAAGTCCCGACCGAAATCCGAATCTAAAAGGTTAAAGTTGAGAGTCAAGACAAACAACTACACATGAAGAGATGTTCCCAGAACATTCTAAATGTTTGAGAGACAACAACTTAAGACAATAGAAACCAAGCATATTCATTAAATCAGAAGCGAACATACATGAACAAGCCATAATACCTAGCTTAGCTAAACAACCATAGTGAATACAATCGTAAAATACTTTTTTTTTCTTTTTGGCCTGAGAATTGAAAACCCTAGATAATAATGATATAGTACAAGCACACACTGTCACAAATACGAAGATGATGCTGAGGCTTCTAGTTGTGAACAGCATGGCCAACTCCGGGACTGTGACCTGGTGTGGTGGGTCGAAAAGCTTCTACATGACCAGGGCTTGGGCTCTCAACAACATTGTGTTCTCCATCAGCCTCTCCTGCCCTGGTTTTAGGGTCCGGGCTCAAGCATTTCACACACTTCAAGTCCTTACTTACTTTCAAGTTCCTTCCTTCAATACAGATCAGTTCATGAGAGAAAATCATTAGAAGAAAAAATAAGCAAGCGGTATAACTGACATTGGCCATAGTGAGAGCTGAGAAGTATGTATATATGCTAGGACTTTATAAAAAGGCTTAGTATATGGTATACTCTAATGAACTCAAGCTCTTAGAGAAGAGGAGAGAGACTTATACAGATACTTATAATCACTCCCTCTCCACGGTATTTATAGAGTGAGCAGCCAAGGCAATGGCCTCCAAGAATTAAAGAAACCAAGAAAAGTGAAACTAACCCTAGAGATAAAACCAACCCCCAAACATTAAGGAAGATTCCTTGGAGAACGTGAGTTGCTCTATAGCAAAGAAATTAAATATTGCAAGTGTACTCTCTCTCTCTCTCTCTCTCTCATGTTAAGCTCTCACAATTTACTAATTATATAATCAAATTTATAATGGGTAGTTCACATGGGATGTACAATAAGCACGTTCATGAGTTCTAACTCATATGACATTGATATATATTGAATGAGAACTAAGCAGTAGATATTAAGTTCAAATCATCTTTTTCGCTCATAAGTTCTAATTCAAACTAGCTTTTTCACATTATAGAGAGGCGGTTTACAATGTAGTTAGTTTTCTACCCTTAACGAGAGTATAGAACAATCACTTTTGCAGGTCACGCTAAGCTGACAAGAATTAATGTCTACAATAACATTAAAATACTAATAACATTATGCATGTTAAATGCATCTGATTATGATGAGAATTATGCAGAGCATTAGCACTCGACATTGACATTAAGTATGTTCCTAACTCAGTCTCCGACATTCAGATACATGCAGATACTGAATTGGTTTCTATTGCCTCTCAATTACAAATAAAATCTTCTGCCATCATATTTAACCACCTTTTTACATTTTTACTTCCCTCTCTCTCTCTCTCTCTCTCTCTCTCTCTCTCTCTCTCCCCATATAGTGTTGTTTATTGAGAGAAATTGAAGAAGAAGAACAAGTTGGTACTTGAATCACACACACACACACCCCCCTGACCCAAGAATGTGGAGAGAGAGGGATTCTTTCCGCCTACCCATGCCACTATGCCCAAAATTAAAAAACTCATCACAATAACTTAACTTTTGTTGTTATAGGCAAACCTTATGCATCTGCCACTAGCCATAAGATTCTTAGCAGAATTAATATACAAAAGGCAGCTATACTATATGGCAATCACAACTGTAAAAGACTAATATATATAGCTGGGGACTTGCACATGGAGACGATTTTGACTCTTAATTTAAATTCTCTGCATGCAGCTTTCTATATATCTTGTGATTCCCTTTGTCTACAATCGCCAAAGTTGCAAGTAAAGGTAAAGTGCTAATATACAATATATAATCTCTTTGGTTATCGTGTGATACATAATTCAAGAATCTAGGCTATATACCTAGCTATATATAGAGGGCGCACACACGTAGTTAGTAGGATTCAGTGACTCTTTTCCATTTTGCGGCTGCCCAATTTGAAGATGCCAACCAAGGGCTTGGCTTCAAGGGGTTAGCATCAGATGTCACGCTCATTTAGGCTCTAGGCAAAATCATGTGTGATCTGGCTGGCTGGCTATATTTAATGTGTTTTTTTTGCTTCTTCAAGGTGAAAATAAAAGGGAAGGGGTCGTAACTTTTAAGCTATGGATGTGGCGGCTCAATCAATTTGATTACTTTCCTAGACAAATTGAGCTCCTGCTTTTGAGGAAAATGCATCCATCGTTTAATTTGAATCAATGTATTGTGCTAATTAACTAGATACCAATGTGGCAGTGTCCATTTATCTTTCCGTAGGCCGAAAAAATAAAAAAACAAACAAATAAAGCTAGGTCTCACTTAATATAAACCATATTGAACAAGATAGTTCATTGGTTAGTTAACAACTCCCTACTCCAATATATCTTTGGATTTGTTTTGGATTTCTCCTAGAAGAGCTAAAACTAGTTTTCAACAACTAAAAATGTTTCTAACTGTGTTTGACAAAAACACTGAAACATTTATGTCTTATAAAAGTGATTTTTGAAGAAGCACTTGTTCAAGTACTTTTATGCTGTCAAATTTCATTCCTATATAGAGATGACCAAATTATCAATGTTAATTTTATCAGCCTCTCGATCTCGAAATAAGTAGGGCATTAGGTGTTGGCTTTCATGTGGCTTCTCTTTTTTTTTTTTTTTATAATTTTTTTTTTATAAAGTGTTTTTGTCTCTCAATATAATGTAAATATGGAAAAAGGGGTTGATTGGCTCTTGTTGGATACTTTATTCTCCAGTGTGTAAAGTGTTATACTAGGAATAGCTTTATGTTGTTAGGCTTCCACAAAAAGAAAAGTGATTACATCTCTGTCCATAGGACCTAAGGCTAGTTCCCTTATATGGAAATAGATAGTTTTACACTCTTCATATGTTGGTGGTCCTCCTAACTTTCTATTTTATTTTTTCATTTTGCTCTCACTTGTGGTCCTAACTTTTTGCATATTGTTCTCCTTGTATCTGGTTTCAATTCATATCATGCTTAACTAATTAATTATAAAAAGTTCTCAACTTCAAAAACGAAAAAGAAATTCATATGCAAAAACTTACCCTCCTTTTGCCAGTCTCCTACATGCAACTTCCTTTTTCTTATAATCTCTGAGATCTCAGACTGAGTACATAACTTCTTAATAATTCTAATTACTTGTTCACTATGACTGTAATAATTTTATTTTATTTTTTTAATACAAGCGAGACGGGAGATAATAGAAATCAAACATAGAATCTCTAAGTGCAGAGGAGGTGAATTCTCTCAGCACTTGAAACGACAAATTGGTTTTTTGTTCGTTTTATTTATTTGTATTTATTTTGTTAAATTGATTCTAGGGCAGAAAATTTGGTCATATGGTCCGCCTTATCATGATTCTTTGGTTGATCAATAGCTCGACCTGCTTTTCATGATGCAAAATTCTAACTGATTTTTTATTTATTAAAAAAATGATACGTTTGTTAACCTAATTTTATGTTGAAATTTGTAAACAATTACTGACACCCTCATCTTATTCATAAAATCGTGCCTGCATCGCATCTCCTCCATAGCTCCTCTCCTCTCAAGGTCTCATCCTTGATCCCCCATGAAACTGAGATCCCAGCTCCATCTCAAATTTTCTTCTAAATTTAAGATTTCCTTCATGTGGAGTGGAGTGTACGTATTTGTGAATTTTAGGTATAGATGGTTAAGATGCAGCACTCTATATTATTATTAATTTCTTTTACTTTGTTTATTATACGGGAAGATTGAAATTTGTTTTTTACTTTCATATTTCAATTGCACAAGTAACTTTTTTAAATGTTGGCCGTGCACTTTTTTATTTTTACTTTTCATAGTGTCACTATCTCTTTTTTAAGAAATTCTGGAATTGCATTCATAATTCAGTTAAAAAAACCATTAGCTACAAGGGGCCAAATACAACTAAGATTGCTATCTCTTAAGTTTTTTTTTTAATTTTTTTTGTATATATTAAAAAAAGTACACGACTTATATGTATGTGAGAAGCATAATAGTTTATTAAACAATGATTATGTATGCTCAATATGTGGACGTATAAAAATATTATATATATATATATTTCTTTTATGTGTTCTATACTAGATTGATAATCTATTAACATGTGTACAGAAATCTGGCATGTGAAATCCACTATATCTATCCATTTTATTGAACTCGGATTAATTCAGTGTACATGTAGTAAAACACAGAGAAATATACAATGACATTTTTATTTTGCATAAGAAGCTTGATGTGACACAATTTTTTTAAGCACAAACGATAGTCTAAACTACAGGGGAAGGAAGGTTTTTCACGCACACATTACCACAATGTCCTGGGGGTTCGAACCTGACACTACCACGTGACACATAGATACAAAGAATTACATGCCCTTTTTTTTTGGGACAAGAAGCTTACATAGCTTTACATTACTTTTATTGAAACATGAAATTAAGGAAGAGCATGATAATGATTTTTGACATGCCTAACTGAGAGCCTAAATTAATGGTAATTTACATAACATAAAACCCATAATTGACAAGCCCCTACATGTGTTTATGGATTTTTATTTTTATTTTTATACAAATAATATTGGGATAGAGGAGAATCGAACATAGAACCTCAGGTGCAAGGGTAAATGCTCTTAACCAACTGAGCTACATGTGTCTATGGACTTGGTTTGGCATTTTGTGGTTGAACACCATGGCCAACACCAGGGCTGTGACCAGGGGCTGTGGGCCTTGTTCCTGCAGTAACAAATTTACTAGCTTTCCCTGGTTGCTTTGTGTTTGTGAATTTATGACCAACACCAGGGCTGTTTCCTGGTGTTGTAGGTCTAAAATCATCTGTATATGATGCATGAGTACCTGAAATTGAATCATGATCAGTTGCCATGGGACTAGCAATGTGATGGGGTGTGGGTTGGCTGCCTTGCTCTCCCAATTCCCTTTTAGAGTTAGCTTCAATTGTGCTGATCAATTCTTTGTTCTTCGGCCAAAATGGCCTGCTCTCAATGCACACAATTTCAAAGCATGCAATTAGTGCAAGAAGAAAAGCACATTTAGCTTCCATAACTAATGGAAAAGAGATTAATGTACTAGATGGTTTTATAAGAAAGTTGGTGTATATTTGAAGAAGTGCTCAAATTGCAAGAGAAATGAAAAGGGAACGAGAGATGTAGAAGCAAACACATGATAATAAATTCACATCTAGGTGGGTATTTATATAAAACCCAGTGAGGATCTTATAACCGCTACTTATAATTGTATAAACAAAATAGTGGACTGCATGAACTTTCAATTTGGACGGTTTCTAATTCTATGCCATAACCTTTATGGGGCCCTCTCCTAATTAGGATCCATAATTAGATACTCCATTGCTACTTCTTTCTTTTCTTACATTATCTCTCTTTTCTTGATACACAAAATACTATTATCATAAAGAAAAGTCCAATTTGACTTGCATTGCATAAGGAGGAGAAAAGATTTTGATCCACTTCCTTGTCATGGGTAGAAAAAAATGGCATATGCAATTCAGTTAAAACATGTGTTACGAAATTCATTAGAGTCTAGAGTCGCCCTTGATTTGCATAGTGACCTTTCATCATGCTGAAGTGTTGCTTTAGCAAGATTACAGGGCCGGTTATCTAATGATCAATCAAAGTTTGTTTAGAAAAAAAATTAATGGGGTTACTTGAACAGCTAAACGATTAGTTTAGGTTGAATAAAACAAGAACCCCACCACCGAAATGCACCAAGAGATAGAGATTCTTCTGTACTATCCCACTTGTTCTGTATAGTATTATATATATGTGGATGGCTAGCTATAGTACAACCTTCATTAGAAACTCTGTCGGGCATTCAACTGAATTAAGCACATCTGTCGTTACTCCAATCTGGTTTGAGTTTTTATATTTTTTGTTTATGGTTTGTGAAAACTTTCAAATGGATTCTTTGAGAGATATATTATCATCATGTATATATAACCATAAATAAATTTACTTTATTTAAGCAATATCAGAATTCATTTGGTTTTTTTTTTTTTTTTCCTTTCAAGATTACACAGCCTTAGCAGCAGAACAAGTATCGACAGCAGCAGGCACAGGTCATCAGATTATCATTTCGCAGTTGAAATTTTTTTTTTCTTTCCATGCATGAATTTTGAGCAATCATTTCAAGCTGCGAATCTAAATATATAACACACAAAAATAATAGTACCCCATGCGCGTAATAGTGACTGAAAGCACTACAATCTGTTGCACTCGTGCATTTAAACAAATAATAACTGATGAGCACTAACTCAGAAAAGCTATCTGTGGTTAGCAATGGATGGTTTATAAAAGAGCCGAAATTTGACCAAACTGAAATGGTCTTAACTAATCATACATTGATGCGAACTTTTCTCTTTGAGTTTTCATTTTTTATATGCACCATTTGACTGCGGCCTATGATTCTGTGTGGAACTTTAACTGGTATTATTATATAAGTTTGACTTCCCCGAGTTTACTTAAGTCGATTATCAGATTCTTTTCAAGTGGTTCTTTTCGTCCCAAATCACATTTCCTTCAAAGCCTTGCAACGTATTTAACATGTATTGGGTGTTATCTTCTTTAATCGAATATGATTTCTTAGGAATTTCATATGGTAATTAAGATAATTTCTTATTAGGTTTTGACTTAAGCGTTGAAAATTATTTTCATGTACATTTTGTTCAACTTTTTATTAATTAATTCCAATGTTGAAGAATGAGATATTCGAACTTGTATAACTTTCTATTTAAGAAAGTCATAATGGAGCAGTAGTGGGGATGGGCAATGGGTAACCATTGGTGCAAATGAGTACCTATTAAGTAGTGGTGGTGGGAACCCATTGCCCATCACTAGGTGAGTGAGGATACATACTTGTTCTCATACTCATCCATCAGATGAGTAATAGGTAGATGTGAGAGAGAGAAAGAGACTGCATATACGACCGTTCTACTTCAGAATATGTGTAATTACAGTAATTTGTGTGATAATGTGAACATGTTAAGTACATAAAATGTTTTACATAATTTACACAAACAATCAACCAATTGGATTACACGAGCAAAATTCAACCTTTGTTATGTGCAAGTATAAACCAAATTGGTTACATATGGTTGAAACTTGAAAGTTCAAATGGGGCATCATATATACATCCCGTCTTTTCAAATTGCATAACTTGTGGCAAAGTTGCCTTCCGATTCTATTTATGAATGAATGTTGTTTTATGATCTTTCATGGGTTGGTTTTGAATTTTGTCCTTCGATTGCATCCGTCCAAAACAAAATATACACACTAACGTCAACCAATGGTTTTCTGAGGACAGAAATTCCAAGATCGATTCGACACCTATATGATGGCAGTCGATTTGTTTTTATTTAAATCCCATTTAAAACTAATTAGTTGGCATGAAAATAAAGTTAAGAAGACAGATGGTCAAAGAAAGAATCCAAAAAAGTCAAGTCAAAAGCACTAGCTAAATGCTAAACCCCAAAGCCGTGGAGGGTCCAGACCACTTTAGTTTGTCCAAAAACATTTCATTTTAATTGCCTTTTAGTATAATAGGGTCAAAAATCAAGCAAATGATGAGAGCAGAGCTCCAAAAAGCCATGCCTCATTGCCTCCACCCCCCCTCCATTTAGGAATTAGGAATGGAAATAATGAAAATGGAGAATCTTGTTGTAAAGGGGCTTTAGCTGGGATTTGTTCCTCGGTCTGTGGAAAGCCTCTCTCTCTCTCTCTCTCTCTCTCTCTCTCTCCACCACTGAGCTAGTAAAATTTAGTAAAATATATTAAGTAGCAAGATTATTAAATTGTACCAAATATAGCACAGATCAAACCGCACTTGATTGATATAGAGTATGTCTGTTGTCCTAGCCTAGCTGTGTTGCACGAATATTTTTCATTAATTATATACAATGTATTGTTTAAGAGAAGGATATCTTTTGTTAGTAAGTAGTAGGTCAGTGAACCCTGTCATCACATGCATGTAATTAATCAAATAATTAAATGAAAACTTTATTAATTGCTTGCTAAGACAAAATGTTCCGGCGCCCATTTGAAAGCATCAAGCATGCAACCTCTCTGGATTACTTTACAAGGAATATGCGGTCACATTACAAGGAATAATTCTGGAAACGAAAGAGATCAATTATATTTTTTGTTAACTTATATGAAAAGTGAAGAACAAGTATATATTTTTCTAGGTGTTCTTACTATAGTATATATGCTTGGAGGTTATCCGCCATGGAACTTGAAAGTTTGTGTATCGAATTGAAGAACAAACCAACGCACCATGACAATGAGAAAACCACATTCATGGCCATCACCACATGTTGACAAAATAAATCCTAATTTAATCGGGAATATTGAGTTTTTCATATCACAATATATAATTTCGACTTTTTTCACTTATATTAATTGCCTATTGATTTTGAGTTTGATATTCTAATTTTGAACATGGTATTAGATAAGACAGTTTATGTTTGAAGCCTATAATAATGGTCAAACGTTGACGCCTCATGGTGTGTTGAGAATGTAAATCCCACATCCAACCTCTATCCATTATATGCAAATCAATTAAATCGTTTTCCCTATTCACCATATTGAGGTTGATTGTTTTTATTTTACGTTTTAATTATTTAAACCCAACCTTAACAACTTTCTAATGTTCGTGTGAAACAATGGTTCTCTGATCGATCAGTTCCTTTAGAGAAACCTCTCTTGAACATAATTCATGGTGTCATTTTTTAATTCGTTCTTACAAAATCTTAACATACTAGAAACCAATTAGAAAATGACAAGCGGCTAATTTTGAGTTCTTCTTTTCAAATAGACTCTACATGGATTTTTGTATAATATATCATATTAAAATGAGTTTAATTATAAAAAGAAACAGTATATTCTCATACCCTCCAATCGGCTAATAGATCCGTCTATCATTTAACAAAAGTTTCCGGCTCCACAATATAAACCTTTCCTAATTAGAGCTCCTATCTCATTCTGTCACAATTGGAATGTTAGGCTCAGTATAAGTGATGCGACAATTTGCATTCTCAACACGTATATGAATATTAGGTGACATTAAAAACATGTTGCCAAATTAAACCTAACATGTACTGATCTAATGCTAAACTAATTCGTAGGGTATTAGAGGACCGAGACTTTTTGAATTAATTATGACGTGACTCATGAGACTTAGAATACCTATGTGAAATTTCACAATCTCAACAATAACCTCTTCATAACGGAATTGGGGAACACCAACAAAGTGTAAATGTATATAATTACTTCCGTTCACTTTTTTTTTTCTTTTTTTTTTTTGGTCAAAATTAGAAAGGAAGAGGAGGAAAAACTCATACACATGTACTATATGAGTTTGAATTCAAGACCACTTGGAATCACTCCCGTTCAGTATTTGAGATGCATAAAAAACGTTCGGGTCAAAACACAAAAAGGAAAAAGAAAAATAGCTAATTATTGAAACATGTAGTTGAACCTCTTGAAACATGTATATTTTCATGGGTCAGCGTTGCTACCACAATTGATCGTGGACCAAATATCTGAGTGGCTGAGTCTTTATAAAGGGTGCTTCTGGAACGCAAAGCTCTGAGCCCCTGATTTATTAGCTATATATATTTACACAAAGAATGAGAGGCATGTGCATGGACCATGGTAGTACTAGTAACTATATATATATCTATCATGCGCAATATGCTTTTTACTTAGAAGTAATATAAACTCTGACACACAATTGTTCCTTACTATCTCCAAACCTTTGGGTATGGAATATGGTATCTTTGTCAGGCCAAAAACAAAGGGAATATGGTATCTTTGTAAAATAATCTACTACTTTCTTTGTATTAGACTATTAATTAGATTACTATATACATAAATAAGAGAATATGTTTGAAATTAAAACAGAAATTTCATTGAGAACTAAACAGGATTAAATACAAATTACATTAAACCAGCACTTAATATTGCATTTGAATACAAATCTTTGTACAAACTTCAGGAAGGCCTTTGGTTTTTGAAGTACAAGCGATAGTCTAAACTAGAAGGGTGGGGGGTTTCTCACACACACAACCAAGATACTATGGGCGTTCGAATATGAAACACTGATCTGCAAGTCAAAGCCATTTT